ACTGTGAGGCCGGCTCTGCTCCGCTCGGGTCCAGGGGAGGGCCTGTCGGGGGCTCTGTCCCGTTGGACAGAGTGATGTAGTGGGGGGTGCTGTCCGTTCGGCCATTCTCTGGTCGCTATGCTTGGGCTGTGGTGACCCCTACTGGCCTGCGTCTGGAAGCACTGCCCAGCGGGGGGCCACCCAGAGGACCCTCAGGTCAGTAGTTCATGGCCCAGCTGGTTCTTACCTGTCCAGGGAAGGGGTGTGAACAAAGGCTGTCCCGTTGGACAGAGTGATGTAGTGGGGGGTGCTGTCCGTTCGGCCATTCTCTGGTCGCTATGCTTGGGCTGTGGTGACCCCTACTGGCCTGCGTCTGGAAGCACTGCCCAGCGGGGGGCCACCCAGAGGACCCTCAGGTCAGTAGTTCATGGCCCAGCTGGTTCTTACCTGTCCAGGGAAGGGGTGTGAACAAAGGAAGGGGGTGGCTTGGAGAAGGGGCAGTTTTCTGACTGTGATGAAATGAAGAGGAGAGACTCAGCTGAGTACTGGGAGTTCGGGGGCCTGTGGACCCCTATCCCAAGGGGGCTAACTCCTGGAACCTGGCCCTGACTCCTGGAACCACATCACGTCCGTGCTGTGCTGTGTCCTGGAGCAGCACTAAACCCTCTATTCTACCAGCTGGCGGAGTCTCATCTTGCTGCCGACGGGGTGCAGGATCGGGGGGTACCCGACACGCCACCACACACAGGCCCTGAGCCCACAGCTTCTAGGGGCCCCGGTTCCCCATTACAGATCAAGGGGAGCTGCAGGAGCGGCGTCTGCAGGCAAGGACGGCACGGGGGGACCCCCTGCTCTGCCTCTCTCCGGGGCTGCAGGGACATGCCAGCCGCTCCCAGGAGCAACGATTCCACAGGGAGAACCACGCCAGCCACGGCAGGGTCAGCATTTGAGAACTCGGCCCTCCAAGAATTCCATGTAAAGCGCGAGAGAGAAATGAACGCGGTGAACTGCACAGGCCTGTCAAACCCCCAAACTAACGCACTTTGCAAGCAGTACAAGACGCAACAACAGCCCCCCACGTGCGTGTTGGGTCAGGCGAGGAGAGGGACGGACAGTGTGCGTTTGGGAGAATGACAGACACACACAGTGGCTACGTCTACACTGGCAGGATTTTCCGCAAATGCGTTTAACGGCAAACTTTTCCGTTAAACGCATTTGCGGAAAAGAAAGTCTAAAATGGGCGGGAG